CTGCATAAGTGTTTCCTGCCGCAGTTATTTTTAGTCAGATTGTGTAAATACGCTGAGACACAGTTATTCTTCACCAGTAAACCCAAGACTCAAGCTGTTGTGATGAAATTGGTCTAACACTTGCAAATTAGTTTTCACTTTTGACGCTTCTTCGGTCGCAGTAAACACCATTTAGGCTTTCCAAATTTTTCTGAGCTCGCTACAGTCTCCCGCTACTTTCAATATCTTAATCATGAAAACGAGGAAACAACTTCCCATTTATGCTTATTTTTTTTCGGTAACCAGAAAGGGCCTCAGTCCTCTTGGCACTGCTCATGCATGCCCTATTTGAAAGGCAGGAAAGCATGAAGCAGCAGTAAGCTCATCTCTCATATTTTGCTGTTGCTTAACCAGATACATCTACTACGACGAGATGGTCTTCACCGGAGTCGCCGGCACCATAAGGACTCTTTACGCAGCTCGAAAGTACTGCTTCTACGATCTTGGGCGTGCGTGTGTCAACTACCTTGAGAATAACGTTTGCATCGAGCACATTTTCAAACTTCTGCAAGCGGCCCTAGATTTTCATGAAGACCGCCTCAAGACTCTGTGCATGCGCCTCATCATCAACAACACCTTTGAGGTGATCCACCGAGAGGACTTTAAAGATGTAAAGAAGGACGTACTGGTGATGATACTGGAGCAAGACGTACTCAACGTCCGGGAAATTGAGCTTTTCGACAGGGTTATGCATTGGGCAGAAAACGAGTGCGATCGCCTCAAAATTACCGTGACTGCAATGAACCAACGAATTGCCTTGGGCAATCCTTACTTCAATCTAATTCGGTTTCCGACAATCCTCTCACACGAATTTGCTACACATGTTGTTGAAAGTGGTGTACTGAAGACAGATGAGATTATCCCCATTCTGCAGTACTACATAACTGGTATGTTTCGCTTTGTTTCTTACCCGTCTTCTTACGCATTTTAACATACATTGACATGTTAATATGGAACTGCTCAAACCGGTTTTGCGATGAGTGATTTTGGTAGAATGTTTTGCAGAGGTGTATTGAATGCTAAAGCATACGTCGACCAGGAGCAGTAGGAATTGGTTGTCTGCCTGCCTTACAATAACGTGTTTTAATGGCGCTAAACTTCCTTCTCCTAAAGTCTAATTTGCGCCTTCAAAAGGCGTGCATCGTATTTATTGCCAAATCTGGAGTTTGCATTGTAATGTGCATTAAGAACTCGGTTGAGACAAATGCACCATTCTTGAAGTTTGACTATTTTCAACACAATTTCGATTACGCCTTTCTGGGCCGCGTAAAATCCATTTTAAACAATAAAATGAAAGCACATTTCATCGGTGTATGTGCGGAATTCGCCCTTTCTTTTCTTAAAAGCGAGTCAACAAGTGGAAGAATTCGCGGCTATTATGACCAGACACGAGTTTTAAATAATGCACTATGAGTTATTTTTGACTTCTTTTAATGCTAGACTTGTATGCTCAGACTTCCACTTTATTACCCTCACTATAAATGCTTGGATTTTGAGAACCTTCTTAAGTGCCTTAATAACTCTTCATTCGTGTTGACTGAGACCTGTGCTGTCGAGTTTTTCGTATGCGTTACTTGTGCCTTTTTGCTTGAGTTCTCCCAAAACGGGTGCCACTCAACATCGCACCACCATCAGCTTTCATCGTAATGCAGACACAAGGAGTGCATCATTACCAAAAATTACTTTTCTTGTAATGAACTGAGCGACTGTTTGAATGCTCAACCTAGTGTCTTTACCATGAAAGTGGAAAACTGGTAGATACTTTTGTTGCATAATTTCCACTGAAGTGAAATCCCTGTAGTGTGTGTGCTTCAAACGTGGTGTTTGATGGAGAATTTGAGCCCTGGCTTGAGCAAGCGTGTGATGGAGAGCACAGGAGGGATTTGTTATAAAGGAACGACAACTCAACTTTATTTCTGACAATTAAATTTGAAAAATCCTTGAGGTGGCATGCCCTCGAATGGATGAGTCGCAAATTCTTCATCAGTATTTCGGAGTTTTGTCTTGGACCACCCAGAAAAGCCATCAACACGAGCTGAACTCCCAACATCATAAGAATTTCGATGATATAATTCAAGGGATAATTTAACCTTTCTTTCATTGGCAAAGGTAGCCTGCATTTCTCAGTCAAATTATATTGTTCAAAATGTGCATCATCGGCAATTTTTAGGGGTCTGAAGCACTTCAAGACGTCTGAAATTAAGTGTCTTGGATTCGATTCCACGTGTCTTGTGCACATGGACAAGAAATGGCGGAAGATCAGACGAGGGATTAGAGTAGCATGTGAAACGAGGAGTTCAATGCTTCATCTCACGTCGGTGACACAAAGGCGGCCACAGCTTTTTCAACACAAGCCGGACACTTAAAACGGTGTTTAGAGTTCAGTGCTAACAAAGGAACTCTTCAAAAGTGACTCATTTCGTGCAATCATACTACCTATTTTGCGACAAGGTGGATGAGCCTTACAGTTTAGTGCAGAATGCTTATGGAAACCTCAGTACTTGCCAACCAATCACTCTCCTGTTCACTACTTTTAAAATTAGTGTTGTTAAGTGACTTTATTCGCTTAGAGGGCGTTTACAAGGCGTTGCATATCACTGATGCCATGTTACGCATGCGTGCGTCTGCTGAAGGGTGGGCCATTCTTCCTTTTCACTTGCCGCAAGTGAATTCCACCAATGTATTTAGAGGATTAGCGTACTGCCTGTCCCTTTAGCCAGAATCGCGTACTACAGAAATTAAAATCTAGAATTTAATCGGAAGTTTACTGTTTCAGCATCTCAGGGAAGGGTATTGCTCCATAATTTGAACGCATTTGTCGACAGGATGACAAGGAGAGTGGGGTACACTTTTGTGAGGTTATGATGATTTGTAGGTCGAAAGCCAAGTCTACCATACTCCTGTCAATCGCGGCGCCGACCATGTCTAGAAGTAGGACCGCTGGACAACGTGAGTGTGACCTATTCAGACCAGACAGAGATGACTTTCGTAGGCCCGACGAGGCCACTACGACGTGCCGCCAGCCATCGCGACATCCATGTTCCGGTGAACGTGTTGCCTTCTCAGCAGTTGGGGTTGATATGCGAGCGACAGCGCAGTGGCTCACCCCCAGCCCGCTTCCACGTTGACGATGAAGAGTTCAGTCTCATTCAGGAGAATATGCGCCATCTACAACACCTTGTCAGGGAACGCAACCAATTTGCGTGGTGCAAAATGCACATGGCTGTCATGAGCAGCCACTACCGATAGACCGGTGTTGTTGAACTCTTTGCTGATACTCTCTTTTCTCGCTTCTTTCCTTGCTCAGCCGGATGCTAAATAGAATTTGCCCATGGGCTCTTTGTATCAGGCTACGCATGATTTTCTATGCCGTCATGTTTATTGAAAACTGAGATCGTCATGTGAACGGCTGCACTTGAGTTGCTAAACCACCTCCAAGGCATGAAAACACTAGTAAAGCTAATAATCTTCGTAAGGGAATCTTATGGAGCATGCATTTGCTGTGTTCCTAAACTGTTCGTTCTTATGCAAAGACTTCATTAGGTATCGTATTTTGCTAAATCCTGATTGACAAAGCAAGTGTGTGGCCTACAAAATACACAAATGTTCGTTTGGATCCCAGACTAACTCCAGGTACCCAAATTCGTACGCAAGTGTTCCCATGCTAGTGGATTTGGCCATTAGGGCTTGTTTACAAGTAGTACTATTTCTAGGTGTTGGAAATACTCATCGGCATCGCCGATCTGCACTTTCGGTTGCCGCACTGTTCCGATTCACTAGGCGCGTCAAATTGGAAGGGTTTAATCTGACTGTTTTTAACAAACTTCAAACAACCGCACCACCTTATTTTTGTATGATAATAAGCAAATTTACTGGAACCTTCCACTAGTAGGAAGGACACTTTGCGTGGAACTTTAATGAATCTACAGGATACAAAAATAACATATTGTGTAATACATTAAAAGAGGTGTTAAGACAGTTGGTGGTGCCTTCACCTTAATGCCATACCACTAGAACGCCGCTGGTAGTTAACCTCGAGATTTTTGCCTCCTCTTCACCAATAGTTGGTAGAATGCAAAGCTCGCGACTTAGAATAAACCAAGTCGATGCCACAATAAAGTGCTGAGATGCCGTCTGTGGGTCTTTCTAACTAAAAGAGCTGAGAAGTCGGTTTTTAACAGCGAAGGAAGGAGGATGGATTATAGATTACACATTTTGAATTTATTCACTAAATGTCCCTAAAAATAGCAACATTTAGAGGAATCTTAAACTCAAAGCCAACCCATAACACCGGGAAAATGGAAATGCGAATTAACTATTTTTATAAGATAGAGAATCGTTGTTGCAAGAATTTTATCCACTAAGGTTTGCATTGACGGTAATAATAAACAGCTTGGATTTTCAAAATTAAGCCTAGTAGCAACAAATGAGATTTCATGTTGATGCATGACGAAGGTTGTGGGCTGAAGTGGATCTTGTGCAGACTTGGACGCTGTGAGTCCTCCTGGCGTGGCTTATTCGGTCAGGTCCAGCCTTGAAGGCCAGCCCCCAATGTAATGTACTTTTGAAACCTGTGGCTTTTTGTAAAACGTAAAGCGTTGCCGTAAATTAGCACGCTATGCCATGTAATTCAGCTTTTACTACCTTC